CCCAAAACAACGACAACAACCCCCCCCAAAAAAAACAAAACAACAACAACCCACAACAACAAACAAACAAACAAAAAAACAACTAAAAAACAACAAAACAACAACAACAAAAAAAACCCAACAATACAAAAACACAAAAAAACACACACTTTGTTGGTTCCCCAGAGGAACTTTAGGTTGCTATTACGAAACCAATAGGCTACATTTCCACAGCAATCGTATTGACGTCGCACAAATACAAAATGCCGACAATCTCTTTATCTTTAACTTGAACACGCCATTGTTTTGTTTGTTTTAGTAGAAGTTTTACGGCGCTCGCAACTGCATTAGGTCATATGAGCACCAACGCGCTATTGTTTGTTGGTCATGATTATTATTATAATATTATTATATCATATAGCCTGTGTAGGTTTATGTATCGGTGGGAATGAAAAGGTATTTTATATATGTGAGGGAGCGTGGTGGAATCAGGCTCTCGTCAATTTTTGGGCATGTTGAGTTATTGGTATCATCTTAAAGCTTGTTCACTTGTCTTTATTTGGGTGAAAAAAATATCCATTTATCTTGAGTGCAAGTCGAGATATTTGAGAAAGAAGGAGGTGGAGGTCACCTGTTTTCAGAGGTAAAATTAGTGAGAAAATGGCCACCAAAGAATAGTTAATTTCCTTAGCTTAAGAGTCCTTAGAAACTGAAAATTTACATTTTTTGTGCTTTTAATCAACATTTTAAAGAAAAACCCACACATAAATGAGTTCTTTAATGGGCTTGAAAGGTGTTAAGCCAGAAAACAAAAATTTGATAAAAATTCACAAACCTGCGAAAAAATGCAAGTTTCTTCTCTTTGATTATTTTGACGAGAGCCTGATTCCACCACGCTACCTCACATAATATGAAGAGCACAAGGGGAATACGACCACAGCCACAAACTAGAAATTATGAGGGTGCCAATTTTAAAAGCTTGTGGACTCATAACTTCATATTTGTTTGACTGGTAGTTTATTGTTAAGTGTTGTTGAATGGGAAATCTAACAACAATAATCAACCAACAGTTGAACAGAAATACAGATATGAGTCAACAAGCGTTCAAAATTGGTGCCCTCACGATTTTCAGTTTGTGACTACTGTCGTTTTCCCCATGTAGTCTTCATATGTTCTCTAATAAGCTCAGAGATATATTAATAGAAAGAGTGAAACTGAGAATAGAAAGAGAAGGTGAAAGAAAGAGAGAGAAAGGTGACAGAAAGAAAGAGAGAGAGAGAGAGAGA